CCCCAAAACCCCAAAACCCCAAAACCCCATAATCCAGCATTAAATAATAAGACGAAAGTTATTAGTTTTAAATTCTTATTAATTTCATCTCAAATTTTAAATCAAATTTCCTAAACCTAATTCAAGCTAAGATTAATTTATCAGCAGGATTAATAATTTTTAGATGGTGATATCTTGCGATAAATCTGTTCCTATGTATCTTCAAAAGCTAAATCCTTTTTCTTTCTCCGCAGCTTTTCATTTTCAGCCCTTTTAAAAGCTTCTTAGGCTAATTGATTCCAATCTGAGTGGAAAAATATTAGGAAGATGTAATAAGTGGTGCAAAGCATTTATGAAACTAAAATGCCTCCCCATATTGCTGTAATACCAAGTTCGAGACTAAAGAGCAAATAGCATTATAGTGGCAGGCCAACTAAATAGAAGAAAACAAATACACCAACAGCAGCTTATTTCATAATACCAAGGCCCCTAATGACACCCACTAGCCATGAATTATTGGAATCAAAAAATGTATTCAAAGATATTAAATAGGTTATATTTCCAATGATTTATTAGATTTCCTCATCACTAGTGAACAACGAAGCAAGATTTCTGCCAAAAACTAATATTGTAAACCATTACATTATTCCCAAAGAAATTCCAATCATACTCAAAACTCTTAAGATATCTTTACCTTAAGGAATATTGTTTGAGCCAATTGATTTTCCTATTAGAGCAGCCGATGACATTGTTAAGCCTAATGTTACCATGTAAACAGGAAGTATCATATTATGAATAATAGATTGAGCTGCAGCCAATTCATTCGAAACAGTACTAATCATAATTGTCTATATCTAAAAGGCCCATGAAGAAATACCCCAAAGTAACAATGAAGGTAATGCCAATTTTACATATTCCCATAGTCCATAAAATGATTGTTTGTTCGGCCAAAAAAAGGCATCCTTAAGGTCTCTCTAGAAGCTGATAAAAATAGCCATCAATAAAATATTTGTTATCTAGGTAATAGTATTGGAGAATGCTGTGCCTTAAAGTTTTAAATCTAGGTAGTTGATAAAGAAATAACTCCAAAAATAATGCATAAAGCATGTAAACATCTATGTATACATTGAAATTTGAGTTCTGCCAAAAGCATTCATAAATATTCTAAGCTAATCAAAAAAGGCATTCAAAAAAAGCGACGGAATCATATACCATATATATAATGAGGCTTGCTCTGCAGTTTTTGACTAGACTCCTGTAAATTCAAAGAAGTATTTTGCACTTATCATGATAGAAGCAACAGGTAAGAATGCGATAACTATGATAACTCTTCCTCTGTTGAGATAAACACCGCATAAATATAGGTTACCTTATCCATAACATTGTGATACCAGAGTACTTAGGATGGCATTAAGCCCGCATATTGGTAGTATGCCAAAAATCATTATATATACATTACCTAAACCAACTCCTGCAACAAGAGCTGGATCGCCAAACT